TGCTCCAGAACACTGAAAGGAAAGGTGTATCGGGCAGTGGTGAGGCCTGCGATGCTATACGGCAGCGAGTGCTGGCCCCTGAACAAGAATCACGAAAGGCAGCTGCACTCCGCTGAGATGAGGATGCTGAGATGGGCCTGTGGTTGGACGCGATTGGACAGGGTCAAAACGAGGAGGTCAGAGCGGTCATGCAGATTGCCCCTGTCCAGCTGAAGGTACGGGAACAGCGTCTGCGATGGTATGGGCACGGCTAAGGAGGCCACAGGACCACCCAATAAGGAAGCAATGGACTTCGAAGCGCAAGGCAAGCGACCGCGAGGTGCCCCAAAGGAGGTGGAAGATGATAAATCAGACCTAATGAAAACACGGCACAGCGAAGATGCCGCTAGATAGGGGCGGTAGTGGCGCGACTGTAAGGGAACGCGACTGGGACTGGCGACTGTAACGGCTAGGGAGAGAAGAAGAAGGAGATTATTGTGTCTGCTGATCTCGGCGTAAACGTACTTATCTCGCGTTCTCTCTCTCCTCGCAGGCTGTGTACCTCGTGCCTACGGCCGGCCGGTCTACGGGAATTTGTGTTCCTAAGGGTGTTTTTGTTTTTGCTCTCAGTATTGGGCTCATTGGACACCCCTTATCGATCTGCCTTTAACGCACTGTCTGACTCGCTTTTACCCGTGGCGTGGTGACGGGCGAGCGAACGCTGATGTCGAGTATTTTTTTAGGCTTCTACGAGGAATGCTCAATTGGTCAGTCCGGCCATTTGTAATGAGGTGTAGTCCGCTGTACTCGTCTTGCGACGCTGAGCTCAAATCCGTTCTCGGTATCTGCGGAACGATTCTCTGAAAGAAGTTACGAGGGATTCTTCTCACTGTGGCTTTCTCACTATGGCGCCCTCTACATCCTCGCATCCGCTTGCCACGCTCACGTTGAGCCGGTGAGGATTCTAGATGTGGTACTGGTGGTGCAGTGGATAGCACGTTTGCTTTATATTGGTGAGGTCAGATGTTCAAATCCTTGCGCATGGCAAACTTTTGCATTTTTCCAGGGCTCCTCATACGAACCCAAAATGTGTTTATATTTGGATATTTTGTCAATTTGCGTCCCCCTTTTACATCTGGAGAGGGCAGACTCTGGAATCTCCTTCTCGGCTCATTTTTTTCAGTTCTTCGTTAAGATGAACTTGGACACACAGAAGCTCTTAAATTAACAATATTTCGAAAAGTTATTCCAGCTATACGAGCAACTATGATAGTCCCTCACAAAATGATCAAAACAAAACAGATGTATAGTATAACAGATGTATGGGGACGCAAATCGACAAAATATCCAAATATAAACACATTTTGGGTTCGCATGAGGAGCCCTGGAAAAATGCAAAGAGTTTTTTTTTTTTTTTTTTTTTTTTTTTTGCCCATGCGCAAGGATTTGAACATCTTACTACACCAATATGAAGCACACGTGTTATCTACTGCACCACCAGTCACCACAATCTGCAACTCCTCACCGGCTCAACGTGAGCGTGGCAAGCGGGATGCGAGGATGTAGAGGGCGCCATAGTGAGAAAGCCACAGTGAGAAGAATCCCTCGTAACTTCTTTCAGAGAATCGTTCCGCAGATACCGAGAACGGATTTGAGCTCAGCGTCGCAAGACGAGTACAGCGGACTACACCTCATTACAAATGGCCGGACTGACCAATTGAGCATTCCTCGTTAGAAGATTATTAGTTCATGAGCTCCTTGAGTCAAATCACTTTGCGTTAGGACAGCAGAAAGACTGATATGCTGCACGGCAGACCTGCATTTGTATGTACCGGTCAGTCATGCCAGTTTTTATAAAAGAGTAATCAAGCGGAGTGACTCTCGTCTTCTCTGGACACTGGCCAATGTCTATGAATCCGATTATATCCTCAGTCGATCACAACGTCATCGCTGTCGTACAAACTGCTCGCTCTACTAGCTCTACTAGCAACTCACTTTCTCTGTTTTCACCCACACAGCCAATTTCATTTTCTTGTCGATCTCGTAACTCACAGCCCTAACCTACTTCAAAACCTACTTCAATGCGATTTGTAACGTTTCTCACGAGGGAAGGTCATCAGGCCGGTACGGACAATGCAGAGAGGTACATACCGTTCCCTTATGCGCTAAAATCAAAAGTGCTTTCCTATCCGCTAAACGTTTCTTTGGATGAAGCTCTGAAACTAGGAAGCGCAGCGGCACTGCCCGGTCACGCAAGCAGTGGTCGCGGGAACAGTTCCTCGCTGGGTCTGTTTCGTGTTTTCATTTGACAATGTGGCCGTGAGGCTTCTGACTTCGGGATTCATAAGAATGGTTTCCTAGGTCCCACCGTAACCACGTTGCCATGGGGCGCGCAATCGCAATCGAATGCGTACACCAGTTCATTGATCGGGATTAAGCCTGAGGCACTATGACACCTTTTTCTCCGCGACCACCCGGAAGCAGCCCTCCAAAATTCCTGCAGCACCCGCTTCCCCGCGCGGGCGTCCGCCTCACCGCTTGCGTGACTAGGCGAACACTACACGCGTCCCCGGCGCCTTGCAGGGGAGCAGGTCCTCACCAGGGCCAACCGTCATATTCGCACTTTTTCGAAATTTTGCGTCCCCCTCCCCTGTGAAGGGAGCCCCCTGTTGTTGTTAAGAGCGCTATCAAGTAAATTCTTGAATCCTTTGCAGAAACATCAGCTCAAAACCCATTGCCTGCGTGGGTGACGAGCAGACGTGATACGGATGAGCCACCCGAATACATGAAAAAGCTCACTTACAGGAAATGAGGAGAAAATGAACTACTTTCAGAGATATCAATTCAAAACCCACTGCCCTTGCGTGAACAGCAGCTCAATTTGTGGGCTACTGTCCACGCAAAGGCAGTGAAGAGCACATTTATGTAGATACCAAAACGCACTGAACGTAACGAAATCGAAACGCAAAACAAAAAATGAAAACAAAACAGTAGGTAACACTGGCGCTAAGACTCAAGGAAATTTGAAACTTTGAGGCGCGGCTGCGTTGCGGCGTTAGCCTTGGAGCGCGGCAGGTATCACCCAGGCGGTGAGAGAACGGGACGCGGAGAAAGAAATACTTTAAAGTGGAATAACTTTTTTGCAACATTCTTTTTGAATTGTGCATGGGGTCCGCTTTCAAAAAACTACAAGGATTGCCTAACTCTCCGGAAAGTACTTCTGTTAGAAGTGGAAAACCCAAAATTCTAAGAAGGCGCACCTTCAACTTTGAAGGCCCATAATATCTTTCGTATGCGACATTTTGGAAAGCTGTAAAAGTTTCAGAAACTTCAAATATTTCTAAACAGTATAAAAGTTTAGTGATTGACCCCTTTTTCAAAAATTGTCCCGTTCGAACATTTTCCGTGCAAAAGCGAGTTTTTGGGCTTTCAGCGGCCATAACTCACTTCATTTTCATTTCTGTGATGCACTTTTTTCATGGGGTGAAAGTACAGGATTTGCTCTTTCTAACAAGCACCAAACCGTTTCTCAAAGTTCATTTTCCGAGAAAATCACACGTTCGAACATTTTCCCATAGGTTTTTGAGCAGCACATGCGAGTTTTTGAGCTTTCAGCAATAATAACTTCCTTCAAAGAGCTTGTTGGGGAGGGGCGAAGACATTTTTGAAGACTACGAGATTTCTGCTTTCTTATGTGTTTTACCGTTGTCTGGAAGAATCGTCCTCAAAAAAATTAGGTCCCGAAGAACTTTAATTTCAGCCCCGAGAAGTCAAACCTTTCATATCGATGCATTCAACTGTTCCTTATTCCTCAAGGAAAACACCTTATTTTGCCTAAAACTGTCTCTTTGTGC